AATAAGCTATTTTTGCCACCGGAAATATAATGCCCAGACTGTTATTCTCCAATGCGTCGGGGTATAACACGTACAAGACGAGAATGCATGCGGCTTTTTAGCAGAATATTTGCAACTTGACGATTGTCATTTCAGTAAATTTTAATTCCACATGCTTTTGAAGCTGATTAAGAGTAACCAGTAATGTACGCTACTACCTCCCTAACTAACTTTTTCAGTGTCTTATTCCATTCTTCTTTCTTATTGGATTTTATTCAAGGCAAACTGACAATGAAACGTACAGCTAAATATTCCTCTGATGCTTTTAACACTTTTGAGGTTATGGGGGCAGTTTAGGAGAACTGCTGGTTACAACTTGATCGCTAATCTCAGGATCAGAATTAGGTTCTTCTTTTTCGTCCTCTCAGTAGTGACCCTTTTTCGCCGTTTTGATGATTTTATCTGGTAAAGAGTTATAGAGCCAAGATAAACTTTACTTTCTCTCTTTTCGCTTCTGTCACAACTTCACATATATATACGCTGGCTACGGTGGTGGTGGCATCAGTACGAGGCATTTACTTTATGCCTTCTCTCCAGATCTTAACTGCGCAATTAGTGCGCAGTTCAAATGAGGCCAGCCGTGAATTGGGATAGCATCAAGCATGGTTGATCTGAGAATATAACCGTCAGGTGTGTTTGTGTGTGGAAGGCGGCCGTTTAAAGTGCGAGTGGGGCAGTACCGTGTCGCATAAGGGAGCCGATTCAAGTCCTCTAAAGGAGCGGTCTCAGTAATTGGTTCTTCTGCTAGCCCCATCGAAATTCCATCTAAGATACTTGGCTACTTCACATCAAAAGGTCGTCCCCCAAAGACATTTAGGATTACTGGTAGTTGACATAAGTAGTCACCTCTTATCGTTGTTTGCTACACCGAAATTCGAGCCGCCGTCAGTAGAAAGTGTCGGGAAATCGTGCAGTTCTAAGTGCACCAGATTTCCTATCTTATGGAATGTCAACCGAATGGTTCA